ACACATTCTCTGTTGTAAAGGCACAACTGTCATGGACTGATTGGACACAGAAGAATGGTGGGAGCCACCAGCTGGGGTCAAAGGCTCGGAGCTTGGAGATTGGTGGTGGGACAATCCTGAGTGGTAAGAGGGAGAAGCCTGGGAGGAGGAGATGTCAGAAGAGGTGAGCAGGGAGAATCTGTAGCAAAGAGAATTCCAGAATTAGAATCAGAGGCGGAAGCTAAGACAAACTCTCATCCCTACTGGTCTCCAAGGACCAGAAGAGGTATGAAGAGGGAGGAGCAAAGACAGACACATCAGCGTAGTCTCAGATTGCTTGGAAAGGACAGGTGTATGTGAGGAGGAGACTTAGGCAGCTGTGGGTAGGTGGGAACTTTTAGTCTCAACTGCCTCATGGGGCAATATCTACTGAGAAGAGTTGCTGTGCACATTCACCTAGCACTCCTGAGCCAACATTGTTTCACCTAATAAAGAGTTAATTCACTCTATGTGATTTATTGCTGACCTGCTCCTGGCACCTGCTCCGGACACAACTTTCAGGGTGCGATTTGTTTGGCATTGTGATCTTCATGTCAAGCTAGACTACATGGCAAATGGACGTGTATCAGAAATCCCATTCTATGAATTTTATAAAAAATTGGAAGTGAATTCTGTGGCTTTTATCATATTAACTTGGAAGCCAATCCAAATTCACCTGGGCCTTAACCCTTCTGTAAGCTACCAGATGCTTCCTCCATCCCAGAAGTCTGTTAACTACAACGCCCCCCTTTCGTGCCCACACACCTGGATGGCAGTGATGACTAGTAACCCCATAGTACCACATTCTGGAGGCTGTTGACCTTGAAAGAGAGTGAAAAATGAATGGTGTGCTAAGTTCATATATAGTGGCTTTTCTTATCCTCCTCTCTGGTTCTGTAAGAGCAACAAACTACCGGGTTATTTAATGGTATTTTAGGTGAAAATATCCTCTCCTACTCTCTTGAAACATTATTCTCCCCCCCCCCCCAGTGCAGTTCTCCAGTGAGCATTCTGGCCACTGTTTTGACCTCTGTTCCTTTAAGCATCGAGATATGCACCCAGGCAAAAAAAGCGCCCACTCAAGTTCTCCAGGGAGAGTTTAATCAAGGGAAGTTACTGTTGCAGTTGTTGAGGAATGCTGTTCTAAATGGCCTGTGTGAGAGAAATAAAAGGAATTTGTCCTACAGATTATGTGTGGAAGACAGCCTAGTGGAGGCTGTGAAATATGAAGCGCAGATGTACAAAGAAGCCAAGTATGAAGGGCATTAATTACTGAATGATTCATAGCTCCGGGAACTGGGTGGCAGGACCTTGGCTGAGGCTAAGCAATGTAGACTGACATTTATTAACCATATTTCCTACACCCCCCACACACACTTGGAACAGGGATGCCCAACTTCTGTATTCTTGTGAGGGCTATCATACCCTTCAGATGTTACGTTGTGGAGTGAGGGAGAGAACTGACCTTCACAATTGTGGACCTCAGGCACTTGAGCATATCTAGGGCCTTTACATACAATGAATCAGTCAATGTGGTGCCCACAAGTTGTTGGACTGCAATTCTAATCATCCTTGACCATTGCCCATGCTGGTTGTAGCTGGTAGGAACTGTAGTCCAACAACAGTTAGAAGGCAACACACTGGCTGCCTCGATGTACAGATTCTAAAGAGAGATGTGTAGCATTTTTGCTTTTCCTTATGAATGAAACTGTGAGCAAACGTCTTTTTACAGTGCACGCAAGAGGTTCTGTATATTAGTTTTGCAAATCTCATCACAAAGCATTTTGATAGTCAAAAAAAGTGTGCGTTGCTCACCCAACTTCCTTGAATCCAGTGCCAATCTCCTTATAGAATCTGTTTCCTAGCAGTGAAAAAACACTGGAGACTTGTGGGATAACATCCAACAAAATGGGCTTAAGCATGCCTTACTCTGTGTTGGATTTTGGCCACAGTGCCTACCTAAATTGCAATTATTTGCTTATTTACAAGTGTGCAAGCAAATGCTTAAAGCAGCAACACAACCACTAATCCTGTGTCAGATTTCCCCCCACAAAGAAAGTTACCCGTTTTAGTGAAACCTTTGGCTGACACACACTCTCTCTCTCCTCCTCCTCCTCCTCCCCTTTGCATCCAAACAGCAACAAATTGTTTCACTGTCCTTTCCACCAGCTGAAGTTTGTGATTACTCAAGACTTAAAATAATTTTCCAACCCATCATAGAACTTTTTTTGTTTAAGCCATGAAAATTCACCAGGTGGTGGCTTACATAAAAGCATTGCAATGGCTACTAGCCGTGATGGCTGTGCTCTGCATCCCGTCAGAGGCAGTAGTGATCCAAATACCAATTGCTGGAAACTGTGCTTAAGCTTAGGTTCTGCTTCCAGGCTTCCCACTGGCATCTGGTTGGCTGCCCTGAGAACAGGATGCTGGACTAGATAAGTCAGTGACTGATCCACCAAGCTCCTCTTATGTTCAAAAGTTCCCACTGGCAAAAATATAAAACAAAACAAAACTCGTAATATATACAGTACTTGGGAGCATTGACACTTAGCTGAAGTCCTGAAGTGATGCGTCCCACTAGACATGCTTGCTGTGGGAACAGGAAGGGCACTATTTGCATATGTAATACAGAATGTAGGCAGCAAACATGTTGCTGTTGTGCCTTGGCATGTAACTGCTCCCAAGGAGCAGTTGTCCTTTGGGTGTCCTGACTTGACTTCAGCTACAAAAGCTGAGGTTGCTGAACAGACTCTTGGGCTGGAGTAATGTTTAGTGGGTTGTGTTGGTGGTGGGGACTACTGACATTATCAATATTAATTCTTTGTATATTGATTTTATATTTTATTATTTATGTGGAAATTGTTCAGTTTGTGTACCTTTTGACATTGTCTTTATTGCTTATGACTCCTGTTATGCTTGTAATTGTTATGGTTTAGATTCTGCGAAATAACGTGTTTGAAACTTGCCGTTCTGCTTTTTTTTTTGCTCCCCCTTCCTTTTATACAGAGCTGCAAATCAGTGCATCGTTTTAGCATGATATCTGCATTTTTTCTATATCCTTTAAGTTTTGTCAGATCATAAATTAAAACAAACGTGCACACACAGACACACAGCGAGAGAGAGAGAGAAAGAGAGAGTGAGAGCGAGCGAGAGAGAAACCTGTGCCTGAAATCATCATACAATTCTTTGGGACTGAGGAGCAGTCATATAAAAACAAGGCCCAATAATCCTTGTTCTTAATTTCTGAAGCAAGGGTAGCCAACATGGTGTCATTGGCAATATAGTTCAATAACATCTGGAGGGCACAGCCTTGACTACCCTCACTCCCCTGCTTTAGAAGGTGGCTACCCCATGTTTTGAGGTTTTGTGTTCTGGGTTTATTCTGTGAGCCGCCCTGAGACCTCTGGGTATAGGGCGGGATATAAATTCAATAAATAAATAAATGTTCTAAAGGGAGAGGCACCAAGGCTCAGCCCCGTCTGAGCATCCTGTCCTCTGTCAAGCAAACTTTTCTTGGTGTTGTGTGTGTGTGTGTGAGAGAGAGAGAGAGAGAGAGAGCTTGCATCATCATAGGCAAGCTATTCTCTATTGCTCAACATACAGCCTAAGTGCTGATGCTTGCAATAAACTTCTAGGATGATGCTTTGGTGAGCCACGGGTTCTTGCTCAAATCACACCTTGTCTAATTATATTCCCCCTAAAGAGGAAAAGCAAGCCAAAGGAGAAACACAGAGGCAGAAGACAAGATGGCAGAAGTTTTGTGTTTTTAGTTCCAGTTTCACAATGCAGCCTTAAATAACCCAGTGTGTTTTCAGGCTATTGCCTTTACATAAGTGTGCACGTGTGGGCTTTAAAGAGAAGTCCTACCCTGTTAATGAAGGGTGTGTGCTTTGCTGGAGCAGGCCAGCAGAAGAAAGCGGCATGGAAGGCGGCACAGGTTCCTGTTGCAGAGAGACCAGCCCTTCCCTTCCTCTCTCTCTCTCTCTTTTCCAATCAGGATGTGCTGCCTACACAAGCTCCCAACCTCAGCCTTTCAGCAAATTGGTTTCCTGTCCCAAGTGCAGCTGGAAAACTGTACAAACAAGAGATCAGGCAGGAAAAAAAGCCCAGCCAGATTATCTCAAAGCGGGGGAGACAAATACTTGCTAAAAACAAATAAATCATCCAAACCAAAACCACAAAAAGGTGGGGTAGTCTGACCAGCCTTCATCTGTTACTATAATGATGGGGTTTTTTCCCTCAATCTGGCTTCTGATCTGGAAGCCCTCTGTTAATCCCTGGTGCTTATCTAGCAGTGCAGGTAAGGAATTCTGCATGTGCTCAGTGGTACTGTGGCCAACCCCAGCCTGGAAGCCCAGAGGAAAACATGATTTTATTAATGATGGGACAGAGCACACTCCAAGCAGGGCGGGTTTAGAAATGGCTTAAAAGGTAAAAGGTAAAGGTAAAATCTTGCTTTACTGGCCGAGGGAGCCGGCATACAGCTTCCGGGTCATGTGGCCAGCATGACTAAGCCTCTTCCTGCGAACCAGAGCAGCGCACGGAAACGCCGTTTACCTTCCCACCAGAGCGGTACCTATTTATCTACTTGCACTTTGACGTGCTTTCGAACTGGGACCGAGCAACGGGAGCTGACCCTGCTGCTAGGCGACCTTCCGACGGTTTAACCCACAGCGCCACCCGCCCTTATCACTCACTATGCATAGCATAGTGGCCGAGTGGCCTGGCTGAAAGTAAGCACTGAAGCTCTTCCTTCAAAGCAGTTTCGAAAGCCTTTGCCAATGCAGCACAGGGAACTCCTGTTAGAATTGGGGAGGAGAGACACTCGGAAGCGCCTGCAAACTCTTTGGAGCCAGGCAGGGCATGGGTGGCGATTCTGATGGCAAAGCAAACCTTGCCATAGAAATCAGCTGGCCGGAGAACCTGATGCAATCAGTCCTTCAAGGTGCATCCTCTTCCATCTCTATCCTTACGATAGGGACATGTTCTGCCGGCAGGGAGGCGTCTGCCTTCATTTCTGGAGCTTGTGGGATGTAAACAAGAGGGCTGGTCTGTCATCTCTCGAAAGCGGGGCGAGCCAGCCTCCTCCCCCTCCTCCCCAGCGGCAGCAGCAACGGAAGGGTGGAGGTGATGACAGGGGAGAAAGAGCAGAGCCATTGCGAGGGAGCGCCTATTCGGCAGAATACGGCCGCCTCCGAAGCTCTGGCGAGCAGCTGCAAACTTCAAACCCAAACTCCGACCGGGGACCTCTCTCCCTTCCTCGCTCCGCTTCGCCCGCCAGCCCCTCTCCGCTCGGCTCCTCCGCCTTCACCCCAGGCTCGCAAGCGCCGCCAGCAGCAGCAGCAGCGAGAGACCGGCCACTGAGGGAAGGAGGCGCCGCCGCCGCCGCCGGGTTTCCCGCCATGGGTCTGGACGCGGACCCGGTGGACCCGGCGCTGCAGTGCCGGCTGTGCGGCCTGGTGCTGGAGGAGCCCCTGTCGACGCCGTGCGGCCACGTCTTCTGCGCCGGCTGCCTGCTGCCCTGGGCGGCGCGGCGCCGGCTGTGCCCCTTGCGCTGCCGGCCCATCTCCCGCCAGGAGCTGCACCGGGTGGCGCCGCTGAGGAGCCTCGTGCTGCGCCTGGCCGCCCAGTGCGACTACCGGGCGCGCGGCTGCCGACGGCGCGTGCCGCTCCACCAACTGGCGGCGCACGTCGAGGGCTGCGCCTACGCGCCGGGCAGGTGCCGCCGTCGCGAGGCGCTGCACATGCGCGGCGGCGGCGGCGAAGGACCTCAAGAGCGGCAGCAGCAGCAGCAAGAGGACGACGACGACGACGACGAGGAGGAAGCTTTTGGCGCCGGCGACGAGGGCAGCGCGAGCCGCAGCAGTAGCAGCGTTTTGCGCGCGAGGTCTGGCAGCGCCGGGCTGCAGCAGCGGCGCGAGAGCGAATCGGCGCTGCTCGGCCAGCTGGCGGCGCTGCAGAGCGACGTGCAGCTGGCGGCGCTCCGGTACAAGCAGAAGTTCAGCCAGTACGTCCGTCACCTCAGCGGCAGCCACGACGGCCCCGAGGTGAGCAAGGGCGCTGTTTTTTAGGGGGGGCGGGGGTTAGGCTGTGCGCTCCTGGCGGAGCAAAGGGCCCTTTAGGGGTAGACTTTCCTTCCTTCCTTCCTTCCTCTCAGGCAGGTCCCACCATCTCTGACAGTGAATGGCGCGCTGGGGTGGTGGAGGTTGCAGCCCCCCGAGGGCGCCAGGTTGAGGGAGGCTGTAGCGGAGCGTCCTGGGCGCTGTGACTTCTGCCAAGCGCCAGGTGGAGTCGACGCTCAGCGGCTGCATCAGTTTTGCTGACGCGGGGAGGTTCGCAGGTGAGACGGGTCGGGGGAGGATTGGTCTTGGCTGTGGCGGCGAAAGGAAGCCTCCGTATTCAGAGGTAGTGGATCTCTGAAAACTCGGAACCAGGATAGGGGGCAATGGCAGGGTAGGACTGTCGCCTTCCTGCTCAGCTTGTGTTCGGGCTTCTTGGAAATAGCTGGCTGGGCTGCCAAGGTGGCTGTTGTGGGAAGATGGATGACTATTTTTGTCCCACCCACTAAAGCTCTTTGAGGAAGAAGATGGCTCACTTGGTAGAGCCTGACTCGTGATCTTGGGGCAAGGGTGCCAAGTTGAATAAAATATGGGGTCCCCTGCCTTATCGATCACATAATGGGGTGCACCCATGCCATTTGAAGGTCAGTGCCCATCAACTTGGGGGACTCAACTTATTGGAGTTGGCTCCTATGTCTCAGGGTGATGGATTCAAGCCCCATGTTGGGCAAAAGATTCCTGCATTACGGGGGGTTGGACAAGATGATCCTTGTGGTCCCTTCCAGCTCTACAATTCTATGAGGTGACCTGCAGGTCTGCCCTGTTCCTCAGCAGCTCACCTTGGTGAAGTAACTCTTGTCAGCCCCTTCTCAGCTTGCTCCTCAATAACTGGTGGTGCTTAATTTGTTTTATAAGGGGGATCTGGTTTGAGGTTTTTACTCCCTCCCCGTCACCTGAAGGCCAGCAGGTGCAGCATTCATAAAGAGGAGAGCTTGCAACCCAACAGGCCTAAGCCTTGTTGCTGCAGGGTTTAATCCTGAACTGGGGCTTGCAAGGCTTGGCTCCAGAACTTGCTATCAGTGCCTGAGGTTTGCAAAGTGGTGCATCTGAGTTTATGATGATGATCTTTCTCTAATCTCAGTGTCAGGTATGTACCTGGTTCATAAAATGTCACTTGTTGGAAGGCTGGAGTCTTGATATAATTTCGGAAGGTGAGTGTTAAAAATGCCCCCAACTCAAGACAGTATAAGAATTGTGGAAGAAATTGACTTTGATTACTTTGCTGAGTGTTAGAGGAACCCATCCTGGAAATAATCAGAGATGCACTCTTTGGAGCTGGTATTGCAACAGATGCTGGGTGCTGTAGTCTTGTTTTTTTAAAAAAATCAAACCTTTTTCTTTGAAACTACTGCTGGGTAAATTGCTTTCCTTGTGTTGCTTTTTCGCAGCATTGCTAATCTTTGTCCCATAAATTGGTGGTTCAGTTTGGGTCTCAGCAGTGCTTTTTTGGCAAAATAATAATAATAATAATAATAATAATAATGTGCTGGATCCCATATCTTGATAACAGTGACATGGGTGCTAGTTTATAATAGGCATGGGCAGCAAAAATAGAGGTGTCAGTACCATCACAAAAAGCATGGACTGCTAGCATCTTGAAACTAGGGGTGCTTTTTGGAAAAAGCTAAGAGGAATACTTCTGGCTTGGAACACATTTTATATACAGATCAGAGACTCTGAACAAAGGCAATGCCTGTACCGGCCCTCCCCCTTTCCCCCCAGAGGGTCTTCTTAGCCTGATTGTATGCCGTGAGCCTTGTTTCCAGGAGGTACAACCAGTGGCAGTGGTACCTCTTAAGCCGAGTTGTTGTTGTTGTGGGACTTGTGAAATGAAGGACATTTCGTTTTGATTTCTGCTGAGTTCTTGATTCTGTAATAGACAGATCTCAACTGTGCAGCTATGCAACAGCATTTTCCTGCACAAGCAAAGGCACAGGGAATAGAATCAGATTCATGGAGCTCTGCTGTCACTTGGTGTTTTCATTGGGATACTAATTGTTTTCATTGGGATACTAATTAGTTTGGTTTCTTTGGATGTTATTTAGTAACTTGGTCATATTTATTAATTTCAGTGTGTCTGCCCTGAGTAAAACTTTGTTGAATACTACCCAGAGTTGCTAATAATAATAATAATAATTTATTTATACCCCACCCATCTGGCTGGGTTGTCCCAGCCACTCTGCTAAACTGTTGCTATGTATGCTATTTAAAAGCTGGAGAATGACAGGTGGCTTTTGGTTCAACAAACAGCAGTTTATTGTTGCACTTCTAATAGTCTGATACTTTGCATATTACACAGTTCAACGTGCCTTGCTTCCAGGTTCTCTATTACTTTAGTTGTACAATCTAAAGGTGATCTCCTCCTCTGATGGAAGGCATCTATCAGTGGAAAGAGGAAGCTGTCATTCTAAAATGATTCTCCTTTGCCTCTACAGGCCTCCGTGCTGCCCCTCCTCTCAAAATCTTCTCCGGAGGCACAGATTGGATATCATCGCCCTTTTTGTTAAGCCTGAGAGCATGATTTCTGCATTGAATAATTTGCTTTTGATTAAATAAACAAGCGGATTAAGAGGACTTTACACAGGCTTGTTGTGCATGACAGCCCTTGATTTAATTTCTCGTGTCTTCATTCTTTATTTATCTTCAAGTTTGGAAGGTCCTTAGGGACTCCTGAAAATGTTATTTGCTGCTGAGTGGTGATTTAAGCTCCACTCACAGTTTTGTGCAATGCTGCTTACTTTTGGGACGCAACAACCAGCAGGAATGATTTGAACCGCTTTGCTCTCTTCAGAACTAGCATTATTCATTGACCTTTATGATACCATAGGGTTGTTAGATGTTGTAATTCTTTGACTTAATAACACAACTGTCACTGCAGCTTCTTTACAATATATAATTACTGAAATATGTGTTTATTAGATTTCTATACTGCCCTTCATCTGAGGGTCACAGGATGCGTGTGCACACACACACACACACACACACACACACACTCTCAGAGCCATAGTAACAAACAAAAACAATATTCCCCAAGTTTAAAAAAACCATAGATGATTTAATTAGCCAAAGGCCTAGAAGAAGAGGAATGCACAGAGCATTCCACATATGGGGAGCCACCACAGAAAAGGCTGATTCTTGTGTTCCTGGAAACTATGATCCTCAGAGAAACTACTACTCATTCAAAAAAACTACTCATTCAATCAGCACTACTACAAGAGAAACTACTCATTCAATCAGCACTTCTTATGTGCATTTTTTGCCATAAAGGGGCTCCTGAGGTGTAATGTAAATTAAAACAGATAAACCAAGTAACGAAAGTATGCAATGAAAACACCACTGTACAAATGTGTGTTGTTATTATTATCATCTGTATCGAATATCAGTTTAAACCATTTGTTTATAAGTGCCTCACATATATATAGTACTGTGCTGTTTTGGCATACAACAGCCCAAAGATTGTTGAAACTGAGTGAACAGAAGTTATGCTGGTACTGAACTATTAAATTGGCATAATCATGTATTATTTTTTTAAAAAAAAATTGTAGCACCTTAGAGACCAACTAAGTTTGTTCTTGGTATGAGCTTCCGTGTGCATGCACACTTTTTCAGATACGGTTGATGGACTTCCATTTCATGTGGCTCAGTATGGTGCCTTCCATGGTTCTAGATTCAGGTAGGTAGCCGTGTTGGTCTGACACAGTAGAAGTATATATAAAAAATATAAAAACTTGTATCTGAAGAAGTGTGCATGCACACAAAAGCACGTACCAAGAACAAACTTAGTTGGTCTCTAAGGTGCTACTGGACAATTTTTTAATTCTTTTAATATATATTTCTACTGCGTCAGACCAACACAGCTACCTACTTGAATCTAGAACTATGTATTTCAAAGAGATTTTCCCCATCGCTCACCATGTTTAAAATAGCATCATGTAATAGCCATAAAAATTCTGAACATTGTAATAGTTCTCTGCACTTAAAACCATTCATACTTATTTGACTGCTAATGAATATGGAGCCGATATCTTAAGTGATAATGACAAAACAATTGCACTGAATTACTTACTAATCACTTATCTCATTAGTATAGTACCTGTATTTCATTCAGAAGTACTTTTTCCACTGACTATCCTAGTACTGAACATAACTGACTTCAAAATGTTGTTCTGTATGAGGTCTGTTTTCTCAACTGCTCCCTGCAATGAAATGTTTTGTGTAATGTAAATGTAGTTTCACCATGGAGATTGGACACTGTGGTGTTTTGTCTCCAGGCTGTTGCCAAAGTTCCAGATATTGGCACGTAGAAAAACCACGCGGGAGAGATTGAGCTGGTACACACAAACCGTTTGACCTACAGAATATCCATCATGTGGAATAAATTTGAAAGACTCACTTCTCAAAATAGGATCTCCTGGAGATCTCAAGCGAGGTTTTAAATGGTTTGATTTATAAAGTCACAGTAGGGTATTGTTAAGTAGGTTTTATAAGTAGTCTTTTTTTGTCTTTCTTTCTAGGAAAGAGAGTCTAAGATCTTAACCATCATGCTACACAGAGAAAACAATACCCTGGGATTTAATATTGTTGGAGGACAAGCTAACCAGGTAAACAGAAAGAATGATTCAGTGCCATATATATATTTATTATATATTTATATTTATATTTATTATATATATATAATAAATTGCTAGGCACACTGTAAATTTTAAATGAGAATTGTGCTTATTATGCATGGTGGCAAGTTAAAAGAATGTTGGGAAGGGTGTAATGGACTAGAAGGGATGCGGGTGGTTCTGTGGCCTAAACCACTGAGCCTCTTGGACTTGCTGATCAGAAGGTTGGTGGTTCAAATCTGTGGGACGGGGTGAGCTCCCATTGTTTGGTCCCAGCTCCTGCCAACCTAGCAATTTGAAGGCATGCCAGTGCAAGTAGATAAACAGGTACCACTGTGGCAGAAAGGTAAATGGCATTTCCATGCGCTTTGGTTTCCGTCACGGTGTTCTGTTGCACCAGAAGCGGTTTAGTCATGCTGGCCACCTGACCTGGAAAGCTGTCTGTGGACAAATGCTGACTCCCTTGGCCTGAAAGTGAAAAGTTAAGGCCTGATTGGACTTAACCGTCCAGGGGTCCTTTACCTTTACCTTTACCTAACAGACTGGAATGACAGTAGATCGAACTGCTGGACCCATATTTGGATGTTCAGTCTTGTAGGAATGGTGCATCTAAACTACTGTGCAAAGGGTTAATCCTGTAGCATATAATCTTGTGATGTCATCTATGCAGTGAGGTAGGTTTTTTTCAGTTGTGCTGTAGTTTAGAATCTTGTGATGTCATATGCATACTGAGGCAATTCCCCTCCCCCCAGTTACTTCAGTTATCCACTGCTCATGTGTTTTAACTGACTGTGAGAGCAGCAAGTGTGTTGTGTTATGCTGCTACCTGCCTCACAGCCAATCTGTAAATATCAGTCAGTCTCAGATACAAATTCATGGAAATACGTTCCAGTAACATAAGTAACACCTGCCTCTCTTGTATATTCAATCTCACAAGAGCAAGTAACAGTAAGTAAAAGTCATATGTTATTTTTAAACTTTAAAAGCAAGCATTGTGTGGTTTTTCTAGGAGAAAAGAGAACCGTTAAAAAGGGTCAAGTGACCCAGGGCGACCTCCGCACAACTCTGTAAAGTATAATTGCCACAAGTCTATCACTCTCCCAGAGATTAGGAAGCCACAGGTCCATGGTTTCCCCTTCCTCCCAAAGCACACTGTTCTTCCATATCCTACTGTTGCATTTTTCCATTTGGGTGTGTGTAGGACTTAAATCTCTCAGTGATGGTCAAAACCATCCTTGAGCATTGCTTATATACTTAAGCAAGTGCCCTTCTGCCATTATTCTCTTGACTGCAGAATAATGCATTTATGTGACCATGCGGCTGTCTGGTGACAAATTAAAGCAATACAAAAGCGGCACTCAGAAATGTATACAGATAAGGATATTGATTTGTATCTGGCCTCATCCTCTGAGGTTTAGTGATTCCAGTCTCCTTTGAATAAAAACAACTGTATGCCCCTAAATGTTCAACTAATGTTTATTTTCAAGGGTAATACAAGCAGAGACATTTTGACAAGTGACACCCCTCAAGAAAAACAATGCCTTTTATTTTAAAGCTGTTTCCTCTTAAAGATTCTTACTGGTCAATGTCTGTTGTAAAGTGTGGCCTGCTTCAAATAGCTAAACTAAGATCTGAACATTGAATCTGAAATGGATTCCTTTGTGCAACCACGTAAAAATGTTGGCAAGGGCTGTCAGTTTGATTCACAGCTCTTCTGTGTGGTTGTGTTTGAAAAAACTGGTATATCTCATCTGGATATTTGCAGGATTTATGGAGCAATCCTGTAGTCAAGAATTTAGCATTAACTGGTGTGGAGTTGCACCAGATGCAACTCCCATTCAGTATCTAGGCTGCCAGCTGAGCTGGCCCAAGCAGGTCAGAGGGAAAACAAGCCTACAAAAAAGAGTTTGATTTACACTACACTTTTTACCATGTCACATGACAGAGCTGAACAGAATTAGGATCCAACTTAAGTCCCCGCTTCCTGCTCTTGCTCCAGAACACCCTATTTGGGAGCTGAGCTGGCTGAAGTAGGATTGGGATCTTAATGCTGGGAGAACCAAAGATGTCAGAACTTGCCACAGAATTGTCCCCTTAGGTTTTTTTAATGTTTTATAAAAATATGCCTTTAAAATGTGTATGTTCAACTCTAGGGCAATCAGGAAGGAATTTATGTGTCCAGAATTGTGGAAAATGGGCCTGCTGACCAAGCAGATGGTATGCAAATGAATGACAGGATCCTAGAGGTAAGAATAGTTCTTCTTCTTCTTCTTCTTTGGTGATCACTCATAGCCGAGTAATATTGTCTTCCATGAACACGGTTTTAAAACTTAGTGTGTAAGTGACTGTGGAGGCCAAATCTGGATCCACATGTCCTTCCACAGTGGGGACGTAGGTTTTTGGGTGGGAGCTGATCATGATGAGGGTTTGCCAAGTGTGCCTTCCTCTTAGCATGTTTCTCCCTTTCGTCTTGAGTTCGAGTATCTTCAAAACCCATGACACCTTTGGTAAAGGTTGTTCTCCAATTGGAGCACTCGCAGGCCAGTGTTTCCCAGTTGTCGGTGTTTATACTACCCTTTTTTAAATTTGCCTTGAGAGAGTCTTTGAACCTCTTTTGTTGACCATCAGCATTGCACTTACCATTTTAAAGTTCGGAATAGAGTAGTTGCTTTGGAAGACGATAATCAGACTTCTGCACAGCATGACCAGTCCAACAAAGTTGATGTTGAAGAATCATCATCATCAATCTTTATTACGGTCCAGAGACCCAACAAAACATTACAAATTAATACAGAGTTCATACAGTCTACCTCCAGGTTAATCAAGCACTTTGTTTGGAATATAGGGCTCGTGTTTTAAAGCAAGTGTTTTAAAACTGTTAACAAGTGTGGATGTGGCAATTTCCAAGACACTGATTGGTAAGATTTATAATTGTTTGGAAGATTCTTTTAAACAGTGAAGGGTTGCTCGATTCTGTACATGGGGCAACTTGTTGCAAGTGCCACATTGTGGTTGCTGCATTTAATTATGTCAGTATTTTCTATATGCTGCATACTACTTTTTTGATTGGCAGAGGCAGTCTCAAAATAAAATTTGAAAGCTTGTAGGGATGTGTTTTGTCGTACTGGGTTAGCATTGCTTCCTCCATAATCAGCCCACAGTCCTCTCTCATGCAAGTCATTTTGGGTGGCTTCACTTAGTCACAGTCCTGGTCTTGCTTTGATATTATGATCCTGGGCTTCTGTGATGTGTTAACATGAAGCATTGGATGCTGAAACTGTTCAATGTATTAGACATTATGGTGTAACAATGGAGACCAAGGGCATATTTTGAACCTTTAAACATAGTGAGTTAAAACACAGTCAACACAGCTCTGCTGTGAAATCTGTGTCCATGTTATATTTATTTATGATTCTTAAGTTGCGGCATCGCTACATGTATATACCTTAAAAAAAAAAAAGACATCCAAAGGAGAATAAATACATTAAGAGTAGTTGATAGATATGTTTCGTATTAAGTTGACAGCTCTTGAAGTGTGTTCAGTTTTTCCCCTTTGAATATTGCTGACAATATTGTCATCACTTTGGTTCACTGTACAGTGGTACCTCGGGTTAAGAATTTACTGTAATTCGTTCTGGAGGTCCGTTCTTAACCTGAAACTGTTCTTAACCTGAGGTACCACTTTAGCTAATGGGGCCTCCCGCTGCTGCCATGCCGCCACCACGCGATTTCTATTCTCATCCTGAAGCAAAGTTCTTAACCCGAGGTACTATTTCTGGGTTAGTGAAGTCTGTAACCTGAAGCGTCTATAACCTGAAGTGTCTGTAGCCCGAGGTACCACTGTACTCGTTCTAAACTCGAGGAAGTGATAGAAAGAACTTAGATAGTTTTTGCCATGAATAGCCTTCCTCTCCAGCCATCCAATTCCCTGACTTTTTTTTAGCCCTGCTCGCTGCATAGCAGTTGGGTTTAGATTTAGCAGTCTTCCTTTTTATACTATTATTTCCAGGACTTGTTGAGTATAATCCTATCAAGCCTATATTCATGGGAGTAAGCCCTATTGAACGCTGCTGCCAGTTAATTCACCCCAGGACTTCTGATATTTCTCTTGGCGTTTAATTTTCTGCTATCTTTTTATTCCTTTTAGTTTTCTTTTCAAACTGCTTGCAAATAAATACATTTTGCTGTTTATTTTTATTTAAAACTAAACATATTAAATACTGAATATTGTCCAGCTATTACCCATCGAATGTGCCTTGTTTGACAATGACAACTATTTTTGAATTTTCTGGATAGATAATTAAAATGTGAAAAATAAAGTCCAACTGTGTGTAATCTGATACAGTTTTCTCTGTAAGGAGACAGTTGTTTCATCACACCGTAGATGATTATGAAATATAACTGTGCCTTAAACTAGAAATAATTTGTTTTCCCCAGGGCTCGAAGTACAAGTTTTTCTCCCTGGTAAAATACTCCCTGATAAATACCATGCCAGTCCTGCTGAGAGTGGAAACTGCAGTTCTGTAGAGAAGAAAAATGAGGAATTGATGTTCTTATTGGCAAGAAGTCAAAAGCTTTTTCACACTTCATTCACTGGAGCTTTATGTGTGAAATTAATGAGTTTAATTCTTGTCATCTGCTTGTCTTTTGTACTTTTAATTGCCTGGCACTTGGTTTTGCCCCCATAGGATGCTGTCAGTAGACTGTACAGTATTATAACTGTGATGTTTGGAGATGTATTTCAGTGTTAATTTATTTGCCCCCTAGGTGGCAAAAACTGAATATGAAATGCAAAAAGCTATACATACAACAGTGTCAGTTCTAAAATCTTCTGGTTAGATGGCTTGATCGTAGTCTCTTTACAGATCCCCCCCCCCCACAACTGGTTTCTCCGTAACTTCGCATAAATGTGAAATATATATGGTAAAGGTAAAGGTACCCCTGCCCGTACGGGCCACTCTTGATAGACTCTAGGGTTGTGCGCTCATCTCACTCTAGAGGCTGGGAGCCAGCACTGTCCGCAGACACTTCCGGGTCACGTGGCCAGCGTGACGAAGCTGCTCCGGCGAACCGGCACC